TTGGTCAATCGGCAAAGGATCTAAGCCATTTGGTCCTTATACCCACCTATCCTACCCTCCTCCCACCCCCACTCCTGCCCTCCTCTAAGCCTAAACAAGTGAAAATTGTATGGCGTAAAACCTACCGCCAGCAGGGGACTTTCCCTATTTATTAAGTTCATGACTGAATGAAGCTGAAGACGGGTAAAGTCGATTGGATTAACATAAAAATTCCAATATATTACCTTCCAATAAAAAAGAGGAAGGAATTCCCCTATTATGACAATCAGGTTTAGATAAAACTGAGGACCAGTAAGAAGGGGTTTTTACGAATGTTAAAAACAAAAACATAAGATATCAGTTGAGCAAAGAGGAAATAGACTGGATGGATGGGAAGGAAAATAGCGGTGTGCACTAGGGTGACCGGTGCGATCAAGCGTTTTGCGCAATTTCGACCAGCGGACGTTTGTCTCCTACGGATTTTCACTGTTTTACACTTTGATCTATAAAAAAGTAGTCGATACGCTGTTTGGCTCCTAAGTTACGAAATCTTTCATTAAAAATTTCACGTACCGGTACGTGAAAGCTGAATCTGAAATCTTAGACGGTGAACACTTTTCCAAGACTTCAACCTCCTAGATCTTTAGCTTCCGATTATTTCGCGTCAAAACTTTTACGTGATAATACATAAGACCTCTTCACAGTTGGGAGCTATGCTTGAGTTTTTTTAAGCTCCTACATGAGCAAAAAACACCCGCCTGAAATTTTCAGTCTCCCAACTCTTCTCGTCCCCGAGATTAATTTTTCCAGTTAAAACTTTCACGGGCGAACGGTAAGGCTGAAATTTAAATTCCCGGTGTCGCACATATGCGGGGACTTTACCCTAAAATTTCAGCCCCTTAGTTTCCGTGGTTTCCGAGATAATAATTCCCCTCGCCAAAACTTCCGCGGGGTGGCACGTGGTACCAGGAAGCAGGTAGCTGGATTTAAGTCTGCGGGTCGTACGTGGGCGGGGAACGCTCTACTAAAATTTCATTGCTGTAGCTTCTCTAGATCCCGAGTTAAAACTCAAGCTACCGGATAAAATACACTCGAAACACATACAGAGAGACAGACAGACACACACATAAACAGAGTCTCTACAATATGCGTTTTGTGCAACTGTTACAGCAAAAAACGCATAAAAACTGAGGTGTAAGTGTTGTGCAAATCGCGGACTGCTAACACTAT